AAAAAATGTAAAATTGAACATGGTGATAAATGCATTAATAATATAACAGATTTTGATCTACCTCCCATTTTAAATATGTACATAAATAATATCAAACATCCAAATAATTAATCTAACCATTTTAATTGTTATTATTTTTATAGTAATTTATAGTAATATTAAGTATTTATTATTCTAATATTTATTTTTGTTATAATTTCCGCGTTTCGCACGTTCAAATTGAGCGTCATTAAAAAAATCAGCTGATAATTGGAACGTCGCGTTGGCGGAGGTATCAGCGGTTCACTTTGGAAATTCATGTCGAGAGACGTGGTTGTAGAAGTCCTTCAACCTGATGATGAGCTAAAAGGCTCGAAATCCGGATTGTTGCAAAACAACTTACTGTGAGTAGGAACTATCCTTTTAAAAAGATTGAACACCACACTCACTCCATCATTTATCATTTCTATCCACCCTTAGGGTGACGGTGTTTTTGAAAAAAAGCCCATTTGTAAGTATGTCGGTTTGGAATGCAGGGCCGCTGGATTCGAACCCGGGACCTTCACCTTACAGTGATGAGCGTCAACGCCTAAGCCGTTGCGGCCACCGACGCCCCAGGTTACTCCAATTCTCAAGTATTTCGTACTAGTTTTTAATATCCGTAATAATTACTTATTTTCACCGCTTTTCAAGTACGGTTTATCGCCATCTCTGCATTATTTTAAATGTTCGTTAAAATCGTTGTAAAGTCTCGCTTTTTCATAATTCAGTATATTTTATAAAAGTGTCAGATACGTTAAATTGTCAAGTTATATTAATTTAGTTTTTAAAGTACATAATTCTAGAATAATGACAAACGAATGTTTTTTTTTTTTAAATTTAGCATTAATATAAATATGCAGATGATACGACCTATTCGCGTTTTTTAAAAAAGAAAGAAAACTTAAAAATAAAAATTTCAATAAATTATAATTAATTAAGGTTTTTAGTTGAGATAAAAAGTCAATGGCACGAGCGGGATTCGAACGTTTTTAATTGTTCAAGCGTACCACGAAATTAGTGAAATTAGTAAATTTCAATAAATATTAAATAACACTATAAATGTAATCTTATAGGTTTATATAATTTGTTACCTATGCAGGCTTTTGCATGTCACCACCTCTACAGTTTACTCAAATCTATAAAACAATGCATTGAAGTTGATACCTCGCGTTTCGACTTGTATATAAAAACAATTCTTGAGAATTTATAATCCGTATCTTTTTGTATCATAGTTTTAATGTTAAATGAAATTTATGAGCCAGAGTGCCATAATTTAGGAACCTAGCTTACTTAATCGCACGAAACTTGAACATCGAGACCAATGCAAGTGATGATTTTCCTACTGAACAAAACATCGCAAAATTTCACATGAAAAAGTATGAATTAGTATTTTGCTATTGCGGACTAATATAACCAAAAATGAGAGAAGAGTGATAACTGCATTTTATCTGATATTTTGTTAAATTTGGAAATTTCAACGAAATCAACGGGAGTCTTCTTTCTTCTGAAGAAAATAATGTTTTATGAGATATAATTTCACTGAAATTTGCTCTATTTTACTTTAGTTGGATATTACCTAATGTCCAGCAAATATTTTTCAACGATGCACTTGCTCATCAAGGTACGAAATGTCAACAATTTTGAGAACGAAGATTTGGATCTATCAGATGCCTTTTTTAAAAAGTACTTTGGACTTGAATCTCAGGTGTCTTTTTGCCACCCCGCCACATTCTGCCATATTCCTCCATATTCACTTTTACTTATGGTTTAGTGCAAATTAAGAGTGTAGAATGTAATTTTATAAGTAATGAGTTAGTAGTCATAACAACTAAAGTGTCACCTTTGTCCTGACCTATATATATATATATATATACATATATAGTATATCGCCGTATATCTTGAGTAATAAATTAAAATCCTTTTTAAAATTAATGCATTGAAAGTTTTTTCAATAATTAAATCCATTTGTCTCATTATATCTCATTTAAAATTTACGTAATAATCACTACAATTGTTTTAACTATATAAAATCTTCAGTTTTTCGTTTTAATTTGGCCCAATTTCCCCATTACATTAACTAGATTTTATCGTTTCAAACAATTATCAGGTTCGATTGTCTGGTAATATATAAGGACGCTCCCAATAAAGTCAGAGAATTCAAATTTGAATCTTTTTGTTTATTATTGTGTGTGGTGATTAGTGACCGTTAATCGTTAGTGTTTGTCTTCTGTGTAACACTTTGAGCCCTGAAGATGATCTCAATAAAGATCGAAACGTTGGCACGATAAAGAAAATGTTTTTTTGAAACCTACATCACACCAGACCGCATCTCACGATTTCTGAATAATTATTGTTTGTTATTGTGTTACAAAATCTCTAAAGTCAACAAGCAACTTTGTTGTCGTTGTGAATTTTGTATTATAACATTCAAATATTAGAGAGGTTAGATATAAAAAGATACACTCCTATCTCAGCCGAATTCACTTTCCCACTTAGGGAGTACTTCGCGATGCTTTTTGCACTTTGGGTGTTTTAGAGGATTGTCGGAAATAAAAAGCGTTGGACTAGCTAGGGGTTGAGATGATGGTACAATGTTTCACGAAGGCGTCGGTATTGACTTTTTGTGGTTTGAAGAAAAATGTGATTTGGAAGTGAGTGTGAATAGTAAGGTAACGATGTATGGAGCTTAGCCATTGGTTCGAAGGATGTTAAACGCGAGTGATTACATACTTTTGAAAAACTTAGATCCTGGTATCCAAAGTTTGAATCTGCACGTCTATATTTGTTGTAGTAATGATGTTCACGCAAAGCGTTTGTTTTCTAGTGGGAGTTTTGATCTTTTGGCAAGTAGTCTTTTGAGAAGGTTATTTTGTTCAGTTATATTATTTTTAGTCGAAGGTGGATGTAGTAAGCTTTAGTCCAAGTAAGCTTTTTGTCGATGTGAAGTCTCAAATAGCTGATAGCATTGGTTGCTGATGATATGATGATAGTGATACGGCGAAGGGTGAATGTTATTTGCTGGAATTTAGTTTCGTCGAGTCTGATCCTACATTTTTTTAACTAATCGAAGGATACA